GAGAGAGAGAGAGAGAGAGAGAGAGACCAGCTATGAAGGGAAGAGTGATCCATCCTCCTTTCTTTGGCTTCGCTTGGGATTCTTGGTCGAGGACAGGCTTGAGCTGAGCTACCGGGGAGTTATCCATCTCTGCCAGTTAGGTTTGGACTCTGGAGGGCTTCTTGGAACCACCGGTATTTATACACAGAGAAATGGGTCATGCACTCATGCTGCTGGCCTGGGTTTCTAGAAAAAGATTAAGAACATTCCTCGGATTGTCGCCCATAGCAGGTACTACGTTCCTTAACCACCACCACTAGGCCAAAACCTCGGCCAAGACCAGTTAAATTCCCGGCAATCATACTTACTACCGATTATTCAAGTTCCGGAAGTTTCGCATCAAATCGTATCCAATAAAGCAGCACGATGGTTAAAGCTTCCGATATTCCGGAAAACAAATGATTACTTGTATGTGCGCTCTTCTCTTCTGTTACACACGATCTTCTTTCGGAAAGCTCCCTTTATACGTAACAAATCAGGGAATATGTCCGTGCGTAGCAATGGGAGAAACACCTGCTTTGCTAGGGTGAACACGTCGCTTCTCCAGTCTGGCTACTTCAGGGTCAAAGTTGCGTGTAATTATCGTGCAATAACTAATCACATGATGGCCTCGCTCACGAACTCTATCCACAGCAAGATGAAGCACCATCTTTTGGGTATCCCACGCAAACCTAATTGATTTCCCCATGCATATGATAACAAGCGACCGATACAGTCAGTTCGGTTCACACGTACGATTTGCTGCCAATCCAAGGAAAGTCAACTTCCGCAAGTGATCCTTCCTTTAGGTTGTTCAGTTTAAAGCGAGGATATACAACATTCCAGAGAAACTTTGGGAAACGTTTCAGGCCGGGGCGCCGGCCGAACCTTCGGCCGGTTGCGAGCCACGTTGGCGCCCCGCGCCCGCCCAAGCCGTGCCCCGCGTGAGACTCCAGTTATTGTTGGGCTCCACGTGGACCACCCCTCATCCCTTTTATTTTTTCCCTAACTGCTGTCTTCATCCCCTACCTCCAGATACATCCTTTCCCGTGACCATTTTTCTTCTTCCCTTTCCCAGCGCTGCTGCCTACCAGCGGCCGCTGCCGGCCGTCTGCTTCGCCGAGCCAGGGGGACTACCCAACTGCTGCCAGTCCTCCTCCTCCACACATCTTCTCCCCCAAAACATCTCTCCTTCTCTCTCAAATAAGCCATGGTTCAAGACGAGGCAAGGTCTGGGAAGGAAGCTGCAACCGGTGCCCGGGGAGGCTGCGACCGACCATGAGACGGCGAGCATGGCGACCTCAGGATGGCGAGGATAGGGCGACGCTCCTCCGAGAAATCAATCGACATCATTATTTTTGCTACATGCTTCAACCGGTGTCGGAATTTGCTACAAACGGCATTGCATACTGCTGCCACTGGTGTCACGTTTTGCTACAATGCACAATCGTCCTTGCATTTTTGCTACAATCGATGTCGCTTTTTGCTACAACCGTTTCCATTTTTTGCTACATATGTTCAGGTTGAGATGCGACCCGACGACGGCGGCGATGACTTTTTTGCTGCAACCGTAATAGATTTCTGGTACATCCAGCAACAATTTTTGCTACATCCATTCTTTTTTCGCCGGCGACGATACAATGGCGAGATACAACCGCCGGCGACGATGACAAGTTTTTTCGTTGAAAAAGCTGCAACGGGCATCGTCAAAAGCTGGAACCGGCCATCAGCGGAGCTGCATCTAGTGTGGTGGTGCCCCGGCAGCCATGTCGGGCACCTCTCGCGGAGCTCGACGCCATGGCCATGGCGACAGCCCTCGCGGAGCTCGACGGCCATGGCCATGGCAGCACCCCTCGCAGCTTGACGCCCATGGCCACGGCAGCATCCCTCGCGGAGCTATGGCCATGGCGTGCCCTAGCAGCCACGGCGGCATCCCTCGAGCGGAGCTCGACGAACATGGCCGTCGTGTCCATCACCAGGGGAATCGCGGGTCACAGGGGGGGCGCGCGTCCAGCGCGAGGAAGGAGATGAGTTTGGGGGAGAATCGAACGATTACGGGCGCGCAGATCGTACGGCTACCAAGGGACCGGCTGAACTTTCGGCCGGTGCGCCGGCGCCTATCGTTGCCCAGAAACTTTTCCTACGCACGCAGATTCCACAGGACTGACCAAATCCATCCAAACCTCATTCATTTTTTGGACGTTGTCCCAAGGCACAAGAGGCCGTACTATAAGACTGAATAAGTTATTCGACCATTTTTTTATAGCTAATAAAGACCATGTTGTTGTAGTTCATGA